ACGGCTTCCGAGCCGGTAGTCCCTGGAAAAGAAGGGTTAGCCGAACTGTCCACCTCTTCTTACCTCTCAAGCGAACAAGATTCGCAAGCGTGGAACACTCTGGATGTTTAGTGGGGAAACCAGTCCCCGAAAAAAAAAAAAAAAAAGAACTTAAACAATCTTAAACATGATTAATGACTGGTTGAAGGTTATCTGCTTTTCCTCAGTAAGGTGTCCCAGTCAGGATCCCAACAGCTTCTCTCTGCTTCGCGTTTCGCCTTGTGCCTTGGCACCTAAGCCTCCAACGGTGCCGTCACCTCTCAAGAGGCAAGGGCCACTGTAACGCCCGAGTTTTTCACCTCAGCTCCGGCGGTTGAAAGGGCATTTTCCACCCCACCCCGATTTGGCTCAGATTCGATTTTCCGCTTGGGTGCTTGGTAGGCCCTTCAAACACAGGCACACGACATGCCAAAAAGGCCAAAACATGCCAAACGACGTGTAAACCTCAAGGCCATTCGCGGCTCGTGTTTGACGGAGACTCCCACGCGTTTTTCATGTGTTGTGGTGTGCCCTCAAATCGACCTTGAGCGTCTTGAGCATTGCTTCCATGAAAAAAAAAGAAACAGCTCTCCGATAGACCGTACACTACTTGTGGATCTCCATGTTTTTGCAACTGTTGGAAGGTCATGGAAGGTCTATAGTATAATATCCCCCTTGGAATTAAGTGGAGGGGTAAAAACACCGATGTTATAGTTATAAAATGCTGCATATGACATCCAAAATGACAGGCCGCATCTTGAGCTCTATAGAATTGGGGATTGTGAGACAGAAAGTCATGGCCAGCTCTATAGAATTGGGTTGGGGGACATGGAAAACAAGTATACATTTCAAGTACAAACACTATAGAATCATAGGGCACAAGGTATTCTTGAACAGGTGTTTCTTCAATTACAGTATGGGGTAGTAGACCTCTATAGAATAGCAGGCTTTGAGGTGCAAAATCTGACTATGCTGGAATCAGGACCTCTACCAACCTCTTCCTGCATGAAAGCTACCACAATTCTATAGTATCTCAACATGATCATTGTCCAACAAAACCACTTGACATGTAAAATTCCATCATGGCGTCATTATGCGTCATTATAAAATCAGACTTCTTTAGCTTGCCAAGATATGTTTTCATGCACAAAAATCCTCTATATAATCGAGGCTCGTAATTTCCTGTGTTCTCTATAAAATCAGACTCTCTGACATGCCACCTCCAACATGGGCAGATCATTCTTGAGTTATAAACACATGTTTGTTTTGTGATGGTATCATCAATTTTGTACTGAACATACCAGGGGGGGAGTGTATAATATGATATAATATGACATCCGACGGTCGGAACCGACCCTTTGATTCAAACCTGCCGTCCCAGGTGCGACCACCGCCATGAATCCCGCGACGGAGTCGGGAATGTGGGGGGGCGAACGTCCTCGCGGGGACCGCCGAGAAGAGGAGGCGAGGAGGCCCGAGCCGGAGGAGAAACAGCCGACCTGAAGGATGAAGAAATTCATCGAAGTCTGAGTAGAAACAGAAGAACTCTCACCGCATGAAGAACTCCCTCAACAGCATGGCGGGTTTGTTTTCCTCAGATTAGAACAACCGTTCGTCCCAGTCCCAGTCCTCACAGCATTAGAATCATTAGATGAATCAAAAGAATATTGCCGTGCAACAAGTGTTTTCTTTCTCGGTCCGATGTGCATATTAAGCATTGCTTGAAACAGGGCATTAAAGAGAACACCAAACACCCTATGGCCCTATCCAGGCTAGTTTTGCTGGCCTTCATCCACTATATGCTAAAGGACAAAAAACACCTCACCAGTGCAAAGCGTGTCAAAATCCATCAGTGCGACGAAAAGCTTTCCAACGGTGTCCCGGAAAGGCCTCAAATCCTGTAGCGCACGTCCAAAATTCAGCGTCACCTCGGGCAGCGACACCACTCAGAAACTACCTGCAAGTGACGGTGTTCCGAAACGAAACTGGCCAAAAGCTGTTGAAAGAGTGTGTCAAAATAATATGTATGATGTAACAATTTTTGTATTTATGTGTTTGCACTGCCTAAGATGGGCTGCGTAATTACCGGACTTGAAACTGGTCGTGCTATATATATATATGTTTATGATTGTTTATGTATGTTTATTGTAATTTGTTCTTGTGTGCTTAACTTGTATCTCTGTATACAAACAAAAAACGTGGAACGTCCTTGAATATGAAATGCAACAAAATGGGTTTCCAACTAAGCAGGACCGCCGATGCAGGACATCTGGAATGTTTGGAAAATCCATTCGAACACACTCGAAACACCAGGTGGTTTGAGGGCTCTCTCCGGTTTGAAAGTCTCAGGCATCCAGATCCAGATATGTCACACATTAGATACAGATGTGCGTCCTGCCTATCCCAGACACTCCATGTATACCATATATGCCTACATTGACCCCCAAAACCACCCCAATGTAGGCATGTATGGCAATGTATGGCATACATGGAGTGTCTGCCTATTGAAGTCTGAGCTTTCCTAGAAATCGGATTCACTTCCCTCCCCGCCGTCCACTTCCCCCCCTCCGCCCCCCCCCCCCCCCCACGCCCCCACGCGGGGCAGCTCCGGCGTCCCCCACGCAGGAAGCGTGGAGTGCTCTGTCCACCGGCCAGACGGTGAAGGTGGCACATCGCTCCTGGCGATGGTGGCACATCGCCGCGATGGTGGCACCGCCCTGGATCAAAAAAACAATGGAACCAATGTATGAGGTCGAACATCTACATCAATTTATGAGGTAGAACATCATGCAATTGTTTTGAACATCATTGAATTGTTTTGAACTGGTCCATCGTTTTGTGAGGTTGTGAGATGGAACCCTGCTGGGATCCAGCACCAGGGGTAACAATGAGAACCCGGTGATTCCATTACAAAAAGGAAGCCTGCTGCCACTATCCATATGTGAATGTGTATTTCAGAAAGGAAAACTATGGAAGCCTCCCTGGCTCAAAGGGTGTCGGTATGTGTTGGTCGATTTTGTCTCTTCTTCCAGGAATTTTCTGCCGGGTCTCCCTATTCAAATTCAATTACACACCCATGCACACATATACAAGCCTTTATTTGATGACTCAGGCTTTTGTCCATCACTGGCACTGCTTACAGATGAAGCGACACCCTCGCCCTCGCACCGAAGGGTTCACCATGCGGTGAAGATTCGAAAGGAAAACGAGGAGGAAAACGATCAGATCACACACCGAAGAAGAGGTACGGTCCTCCCCCCGTACCGTGCCACATGGAACCAATCGATCGACTGACTGCTGTGATGATGATCAATACGTATACATGTTTTATCATGCTTTGCTGCTTTACTGTCGAAAAGCTGAGGCGCTCTAGATCGGTGTTAGTCACGCTGTGTTTGACCCTTCGCCTAGCTATTCCCTACAACCCCCCAAAAGGCCCACTTCAACCAGAAAACAATAGAAAACATTTCATAATCTCCCAAAAAACCACAGCTGAGTTCCACCGGATCGAATCATAGAAATGCCCAACAAATGCCCAATGCCCACCTCCAGGTTCATCTCCAGCTCAATCCAATCGCCAAGCTCCAAAGGCTTCAGCACTTGGCGGTTCGCACCGATGTGTTGCGATGGAGGTCTATCGCTCCGGTGTTGGAAGCGAGATGGGGGGGAGATGGTGCTCTAAAAGATTGAAACAAGTTTAGAATAGTTTAGATATTCATATATATAAGTGTTTATCTATATATATGATATCTAATCTATATACATAGCTTGATGGTCTCCTTGTTCAACTATATCACATATATATAGTCTATAGAAAGGTCTTCGACCTTCACATGAGACTGTATTTAGCAAAAGGGTGTGCCATGTAAGGATCTGTTCGAAACTGACCAATTCCCCGCATTTGATCCGCCAGTGATGTGAATGTGCGGCTATTCAAGGGGGAATGCCCATTGCACATATGAATAGAAGCGTCCTATTCCTTTGCTCATTCAAAGCTCGGAACCGCAGTGCCCCCCCTAAAATACGGCCATCACCACCAGTCGCAACAGCATGAAACAGTCATCCTTAAAAAGCTGTACCAGCCTGCGACTTCACCCCTGCACTGATGCTCTCTCCGATCGCGATCGACTGTTACCCCCACCCGGAGCACTGATGTGGAACCTGAATCCGACGAACAAGACTCACCAAATGACCAACGCGGACTCATCCAGTCTCCAACGCTTCATCAGTCCAGCCATATCGTCACAGTGTCTCATCAGTCCAAGTGTCTCATCTGGTCAGATCGCAGCACCTGGCCATCTCATCCGGACAGCTCGATTTGATAGCAGCTCGAAGCTCTCCCACAGCTCTTTTTCGAATCCAACGGACAACGGAAGAAACACGTCGAGGTTGGTAGAATCATGTAGAATCACATCCACGATGATTCCGATCTGAGAGTGGTCTCTGACGGTCTCTGGATTTGAATGCATTGCATTCCATGGCTTTCTCTTTGCCCAAACTCGTTCAGTTGGATGGGGTTCAGGAACTCCATCCAACCGATTCGCTACCGCGGCCTGCCAGTCTACTTGGTTTGAGGTCAATCTCTGATGGTTACTCAAAGTGTCCACCGATGGTTGTGGGTGTGCAAGTTTTGGGGCTTCAGAGAAGGACTTCTTGGCTACACGAAGAAGCATCTACCAAAAGCTGCAACGGCCTGCACAACGGCAAGGTTTGTATCTGATGACCTACTAAGAGTCAAACAGTTTAAACAATCTGAGACACCTTGAGGCAAGTAGGCTTGAGGGAGGAGCCTTCTCAACACAAATGTCAGGTACAAACTGTTCTGGTCTGCATTTGAGGGATCTGATCCAAGCCGATCTTCTGAACTCACCCCTCCCGCAAAGAGTAGTCTTCTCCTTATATAGTTTTATGTCAAACTAAAGTTGATTGCCGTATACAGTATACACTCAAACACAGCTTGCACATGCTCGCACGTTCTGGACTCAGGAAAACTCTGCGCATCCAGTCTTCCAGTCTGCTCGTGGGCCTCCGCATGAGCCCGCATGCAGATTCGTCCAGTCCTGGAGGCGCCATGTGGAGGCAAGGCGTCACAAGACATGTCAAGAACACAAGTAGGACTACAAAGCAACATGAAGGGTTCCATTGGGCATTCTTCTCTTGGGTGTGAATCGATCTGCTTCCAATCCTTGCAATGGCAATGTTTAAAGGCTTTGGTATGCCATGGGATGCCAGCTGATTGTACTTGCTATGCATCAATCTCGACAGCTAAGCTACAGTCACAGAACAGCTATAGCTGCTGAGTTTCCTCTCTGTTTGTCTGACCCATACACTATCATACACTATCATTCGTCCGCTCAACTCTTTGCTGAGACATTGGCTTGTTCACGAAAATGGACACAATCCTGAGCCACGGGCACGTGACACGGTGGACAGAACCCATCCGTTTCCATGCGTCGATCAAAGACGACGTTCGACAGACAGACCACCTCCTCTCCCGTGAACTCGTAAAATGGGCCGGAGGAACATGCGGTGACGGTCCAAAAAGAATCAACTTGCAGAACGAATGAATCATTATGAAGATGAGAGATTTGAAACGACCAACCAAAAGGTGCGACCCAATTGATGTTCGGGAACAATGAGTCAGATTCCTTTTTTTTGATCGTATAGATGCCCACATGCAAGCCGACTGTCACTGCTCAGCCCAATGAGCTGTTTGCAATGAAAGACCTGGATGCTAGGAACACAAACTATTGAACTATATTGACCATTGTGTTGGTGTTGAGTGTTGAGGTGTCTCCCTTCACCAAAAAATCCTCACCCTTCACCCAAACAGGTTTATCTCAAATCAGGCACCATATGAATTTTGAGTGCTATAATTTTGACACATACCCTCCCAAGCACCAAGGTTCGAACCTCCTCCGTTCACCGGCACCGTCTCCGCACGGTCGCTTCGACCGGCACCTTTGCACCCCGTCTGTCCAAGCTTCTTCTGAATATTCTTTGGGCAGGGCAGCTTCTCAGAGAAGATGAACCCCACACCATCGGCGCCTCGAAGCGTTCGCTCTGAAAACATGCGGAGCGCTGGAGCGGGGCGGAGTGGCGCCCAAAGTGGGAGCGCCGCTCATCGTCGATGAAACCCAACGCCCACGCAATGAAATCCGTACACCAAACAAAACCTTGTCAACATGACTGATTCAAGTGATGATTCTTGGTATAGTTTTTGGATGTTTTTGGGCAATTAGATGTTTTGTCATGCAAAAGACTTGCTTTGGACTTCGGCTCAAGCTCGCTCCATCTCACTTCAACAGTTTCCGCCACAAATTGACCATGTGACCATGTATTATATTAGTCCATATGAGTCCATATGTCCGAGCCCACAGTCACGTGCTAGCAACGGCAATGACCCTGGTGACCAGTGGCCGTTGCAATCCCCAAAAAGATCTCGAGAATCGGTGTTCCAACCAATGCTTTTTGAACTGATTGATGAAATAAGCTGAAATCTAAGATCTATACATATATCTATATAATACAGTACATTGTATATGTTTAGACGTTTTCAAATGCTTGAACATCAACTTATCGTCTAGAAAGCTTCAAGCTCAAATCAACAAGTTGGGTGGGAGACAAGGCGATGTACACACATGCCCCGTGCCCCCACCCACCGCCGGATCAACACATCTCTGCCTGCCATGAGAGTCAGGGTCAGGGCTCAACCAAAAATAAGGGAAAACGACTGATTTCTTGGCATGATGTCTGTTTTTCAAAGTATAGAACAACACATAAAAATAAGAATGAACACAATCTGAGCTCCAGCCTTCACAAACCATCAGTCGTTGGGGGGACATTCCATTGTGCTCAACAATATCCCATTCAAAAGAGTGCCGAAGCATTCCTTGTTTGAGACAAGTCACTGCTTAGCTCTCCGCTGCAGAACTGCACGGAGTACCTCGTGCACAGATTGTGGATTTGCCTATCAGGACATGCTGTAAGTCAACATGTGTTGTTTAATAGCGATTGTGAACTGAAGATCCGACGAATGAAAGGAAGCTGTAGTTTCAATGGAATCTTTGAAGCACCTCACATCCCCATACACCCAGCAAATAAGGTTTACAAGAACATCTAACCCAACACATCGGCTCACGGTTACCATATGTTCTGTTGCCACCTCTCACTCCGCCAGGGCAACCAAGTAACCATCTCTGGTGGGTCCCTTTGAAGTGGTCTTTTCCAGTTTACTTCCGAATATCTTCGGAATGTCTCAACTTTGGAATTCGTGTTGGTGATGTCCATGGTGAAGAACTGCAAATCTGGGAGGTTGGGTCTGGGTCCCTGTGTTTTTTAGGCCCTACCGCACACCCTGTTGGAATGCTAAGATCCTTCTAGAGGAACTCCGGGGTTGGACGCTCCTCAAAGATAATTCCAGAAGCTTCTCAAAAAGCCAATAGTTCCCCCGGTCAAATGCACTCCTGGTTCTTAGCAACAGCAGCAAGTGTGATCACTTTCGTCCTTTTCAATCCTTTTCAGGAGCTCTACAATTCAGAATATGACTATATACCGCATGTTCATGAACATTTCGCCCTAGCTGCCAGACAGGATGATGTTCAATGGGCCCTCCAGTGACTTCTACCCAACCATATTCCCCACCTTCTCTGCTGTCTCACACATTTGGTTCTATTTCACTGTCACTCCTGGCATGACCACAAACACCTTGGCCACCATCGCCCCGCACTGCGCGCATCGCGCGGATCCCCCGCGCGGATCGCGCGGATCCGCATCGGTGCCTGTGCAGACCCTCCACCTTGACACGGTCCTCAGTAATGACCTTGAGGTGCACACGGGGCGGTCCGGGTGAACCGATGAGAGAACGAAGCTCCGGGCCATGGGTTCGTCCCCGCAAAGCGCATCACACAAGCCCAAACAATCTGGACTGACTGATGGCTGGAATAAGACCCAGAAGTCCCTGTCAGTGCCTGCAAAAAAAAAGAATACGTCGTGCGGCCGCTCCCTCTGCCATTCTGTGCCACACTCCAGTCGCTCCCATCCGAGTCCAAACGGTCTCGACTCCACAGCCACGGAGTGTGTGAGAGAGCTGTGCTTCAACCCACCTGCTTGCAGGTTAGGCATTTTGTTCACTAACGCGTAGGGCCCCTAGGGCTCTTGTACATGTACTCAACATCGTTTAAGGCCGATTCATGCCGTCTGTGTTGTTGGAAAACACGATCAAGTGTTTGAGCAGCAAAAGCAGGCACATTCAAGTTTCAATGGCAAGTTGTTAATCTATGTTGTATAATCTGTTGGTAATGTATGGTAATGTTCTGTTCAGCGTTGCAAATATACATACAAGGGGGAAAAGCTCAGCACCCACTAGGCTTGACCTTTATTTTTTCTCCATAATTAGACACATGCATCGCCACATCTTGCAGCTATCCGTAGCACTGCAGAACATCACAACGTACGGTGTGTAAAACTGGTTGTCTCTGAAGATAGTGCGTCCCGCAAAAAATACAGTGTGCAGCAGTAGGACAACAAAAATAACAAAATTGAATCAATCATGAAACCCAGTCGGGGATTCTTCTAAGCACCCCTCATGGGCCATGTTTCTTCAAATTTGAAAGCCCTCCCATCGGTTCTTAACATGTTCTCAACATCGGATCAACCAAAACGCTGAACACCGGACATCGGATCACCAATATGAGCTGAACACCGGACATCGGGTCGGGCCACGTGGTCGCGACGCCATGCGGCGACGCCGAAACCCGGTCGAGTCGACCGAGCTGAATTTGACACATCCTGATGGTCTGAAGGAGTTCATTTGATCGAGGCATCAATCGATTCATCCATCCCTGTACTGACGATTCATCATATTTCGGTGTTTTTGGCTTCTCCCACACAACATTCATGGACAAAAAAGCTGTTTCTCATGACGCGTTGGAAGCGCCACCTCCCAGCATTGTGGCCGAGTCCATTCAGGGTTCATCTTATCTGGGTCATCTCATTCAATTAGATTCACCCTTACCACCTCCTCTAAACAGTTAAATGATGTTAAGAGATGTTAAGATACCATATCCATAACAATCATTCAACTCAAGCGCATGTCCATGTTAATGCCATCTACCCCAGCCATTTCCATGAAAGAAACGCGTCGCAGCATCGGTTTTCGCGTCGTTTCAGTCTACCAGGTCCCCTGGTGGGCTGGCGCGACGACTCGCATTGGACGGACTGGGCATGCCGGACAGAGAGCCGTCCGTGGAACTGCTCCTGTGAAGAGAGCTAAACTCGTGGGGATCAAGGAGAAGCGGCGAGAAGGGGAGGAGAATGAAGGGTGCCACGGGTGTAAATGATGATGAGACTTGATGAGAAATGAAATGAAATGAATGGACATTTGATACCAGGACTAGAAATCATGAGAAATCACCGGTTTTTCGTTGCCCGGCAGTCACTGGTGGAGAAATCAGTGTACCGTAGAGAACCCCGACCATCCCCGAGGTCCCGCCGCGTGCGCTTCCGTCCTTGGTGAAGGTCCGCAGGTCCGGTGCCATCAATCCCATCTTGGCCTCGGGACCGGAGAGACCGAAGCTTCGAATCCGACCATCGAGCGCCAACGTCTGCGGCTGCGAACGTGTGAGACATCTGACGAGGTCTGGGTAGCCTTAGAGATGCTGGTGAAATCTGACATGATGATTTGCCGTTATTGGAGTGTAGAACCGACCTATAGTGGTCTTGTACGAAGCCCCAGCATGTGGAAAGTCTGCAAGGAACTGCCACTTTTCTGGTTGGGGCACCAGATTTTGACCCAGCCGGTCCTCGCACTCCCTGTCCTCTTGTCCGGTGCCCGCACGGTCTCCGCATGGAATCGGTGCCGCGCTGCGAAGTGAGGCCCCTGACGTTCAGCGGAGAAAACGCGACGCAACTGTGCATCACCCTGAACCCTTAAATTGTAGAAGCATCTGCAGATCCACCATGAAAGGGCCCGCATAGTACTGGCTCACTTGGATCGTTTTCCCCAAAAATCCAATAGGAGGAAAAGAGAGCTATTACTTGTATCGCATCCTGAAGAAAGACCGTCCAAATCTTCCTCGCTAGAGAAAATTGGCAGGTTTGGGTCATGAGGGCGATAGTTGATGTGATACCGGGCGCCAAGGACCCTCAGCTATTTAAGTAACAATAAGAACCAAGAGTTTGCTGAGAGCCCATACTGGTTTCTGCAGTTTCTACTGCAGACTTTGCTGAGGTTCCAAGAATGTATATAAGATGCGAAGCAAAGGTCTCTGGGATGTGTTTTGCTCATATATGTTCTGTTCTTCTCCCTCTGTCTCCTTCGAAAAACTCCAGCCTGGGAGACAATCACCCGGGGTCGCAAATCCAGAAGGATTTGTTGGCCCAAATCCACCTGATGGACGACTCATGGACGAAGGCAGCAAATGGTGGAAACGCCACGTCAACGAGAAAATGGTGGAAACTTGCATCGTGCGGTCTTCGACCGTCTAAGGAACTCTCCAAATCGGGCTTTTGAGTGCAACCGTCCCTAGTCTCCGGCAGAAAGGTAGGTAGCTGGTGATCTTACTTTCACCCGGAATCTCTCATCTCAGCTTTGCTAAATCAAAAAACGACGAGTACCAAAGTCGTGATTCATGGAGTATGAATGTCATGTCCAGCTCCACCACACATAAAGAAGTATGTTCTTTTTCCGTCGTTCTGGTTACACGAAGTCCCTTCATCTACGTTGGTGTCCTCAAAGTAGGGCCATCCCCAAAAGTAACTCTCTAGCCACGGGGGAAGTCAAACGGTTTGATGTGACCGTGCGTGTGACCTGCCAATCCAAATAGCTCGGCGGTACATTCATTCATGGCTTCCATAAACTGACCAAGGTCAAAATTAGACTTGACCCCAATTACAGACCTTTGTTCTTTAAATTTTCTTGTAAGGGTGGTATAAAACATTGCAATATGACAGTATTAGAGGATATTAGAGGACATTAAGGGTTCGAAATTCGAAAGGTTCAAGTCTATAAAGCCATGTAGTACTGAGTGGATGCTTTGGGTGCCAGGAGTTCCAACAGCCTTTTGACCTATCCTTGTGGCACTCCCACCGGAGTGCGCCTCCGTTTTCCTTGTGGCCCACCGGTGCTCCTGCACGACTCTGTTCGCTGGCAAGTGGCGCGAACACCAGTCGTGAGCTGCAGGACTCGCAGTGATGCTGTTGTTTCGTGTTCAGCTAAGCTATAGGGATTATAGTCACCTATCGCCTATCGCTTTTCAGAGTTTGGGATATACCCCAAAGCAGAACTCGCATGGCGAGTAAATCCTGACTGTGGCCTGGGCCAGTCAAAAAGAAAAACACCACTTGATCTGACTGAGCCGTTCGAGGCCACGTCCATGGATATACTACAGTGACAACAGAGTATGCACCACCATGCACCACCCAAAGAGGTCCAAGTTCCAAAGATTCAGTGGCATTTCCAACACCAAAATTGACTTCGACGCCTCCCGGCGAGATGCTCCCGGTGGGCGGCCACGCGCGCGCGCGCCTGGATGGAGTGGATGTCCTTGCCTGGTCCGGCGTCCGGCGCACGTGCGGAGTGCTCCGTGCTCTGTGCCGTGCGGGGGGATGGTGGGAGAGTGCCGAAAACAACAAAAACAAAGCGGGCCGTTGAGAAGTGAGATGTGAGCTGTGGAGAAGTGAGATGTGAGGCATGTGCAAGGGTTTTGGGCGGTGGTCTGTCTTTTCATCGACTAGGTGGTGCAGGATTAAGTGAATTACACTGGAACAAATTGAGGTTCTCCATTGTCAAGAATGATGCACCGACTATATCATAGCTATCCTTGCAACAACAGGCAACAACTCACCTGCGAACAACATGCATGTCTGTCTGTGCAGGACCATTGCTTGTGGATTAGAAAGGGGCTTCTAAAGGTACTGCGACCGTGTCCACCATGACATGGGGCATCCAATGTATGAGGATGTGAGACATGGACACAGGCTATGGGTTCTTGGATTTCTTCAGTGCTTCCAACGTAGAATGATCCCATCAGCTTCCCTGGGCCCCCTCAGCTTCCCTGGAAAATGCAAGGTTAACCTTCGCCCCCACCTGTTCACTTTGAGTGGGTAAACCAATGCCCCAAAAATTGTTAAAGGGTTACCAACAGGCGGGGTAGGAAAAGGGCAAACAAGGGTCTTCAGGGCATCAACTATCTCATGAAAACACCATTGCAACCATGTATGTTGTTCACTCACTCCCTCTGTTCCTCCCAGTCTTCTCCCGCCTTTGCCCTTGCCGTAGCCTTTTCTCGACCTCATCTCCTCACGGAACGTGACCGTCATCGACGCCGTGGCCCGCGGCACGGACACTGATAGCGTCCGCATGCGGATGAAGCCACGTGCTCCGCGCCATTGTTGCTAAGCAGCACAGCCGTCCTCGAGCACCTTTAAACATGCAAAAGATGTGAAGTGTTTGACGAAAATTCAGATGATGATTTTAAAATATAAAGTGTTCTGCGTTCTGTGTTGTTGCTCTAAATGAGCCTTTGAATGAGCAAACCCCCAAAACCCTTCTCGCCTGTGGAACTGGACGCTGTGGCCTCAGAGGCACGGAGGGAAGGACAGTGACCATCTTGGAGGCCTTTGAGTGACCTCAAGGGCAGGCCTTTCCGTGACGTCTTACACCAGGCCTTTGAAGAACCTTATCAAGTTTGGTCACTTTGAAGAACCAGGATTCGGATGATGTATTTTATCCCCTGTAGCCAAGCAAAAATCTCCTAGATCTCATGGACCCACATTTCAATTGGTCGATGATGGTCTATGAGATTCTATGAGTCTATGGGATCATTGATCAAAAACAAAATCTCTGGCTCCTGGCTTTTTGAGTTCAACGTTTCGAAGAAAGAAAGTACAACAAGGTGTTTGGGAACGAGTGCTTCTATCTTGGAGTCTCTCGCTGTACATAGTTGTACTTATTTGTATATACCGTACTCAGTACTCTGCATTATGTATAATATATGTGTATATATATACATACTACAGTAGTTACATATTAATTATACATATACATATATACATATATATATATACTGGTATGAGCTTAGATGATGGTCAAAAAAGCCATGTGCACGGCGCGCACACCCTACTTCTTTGGGCCCCCCAACCATGGACCGTTGCTGCCACAGGAGTTCGTGCTACAGGTTGCGGGGCTTGCTGCAGCCTGAGACCCGCGGCCCGGTCGCTTTGTCATGAGGACCGGAGCAAATGAATTGGTTATTTGTGGTTTCGGTTTCAACTCAACAATATGATGAGTCAGTGTTTGTTGGCATCCTCCCAAGCAAATGTTTAAAAAAAACGAGCCACTGAAAGCACCACCCAGTTCACCGAATTGAGAGACCCGACTAAACGATCAATGGGATTGTTGTCACTTCCCAGTCCCAAAGGTCCCAATTAGGTTGTGACGTGAAGAAGGCTCTGGAACTGCGGATCCAATACACACCAAGGGCCCACAAAGAACTGCGGTCTTTGCGAAACAGAACAACACGTCAATATGTGAAACAGTCCAGAGAAATCACACAAGCGAAGACCATGACCTCATCATCTCCTGAGACGGGACTAGGTAGGGTTGAGGGCCCCAATAGGGCGGCCCTCGGGCCAATCAACATCTTCCTCTCCACGGCAAAAGCCTATCCGTTGGCAAAGGGATCTTTTGAGTCGTCGCGGCTGTAGTCTATAGCTTCAGAAGCGGAAAGAAGTACTGATAGCCTTGGTTACAAGTTCAGTTTATTGAAACATGTCACACCAAATCGATGCAACATATTGATCCAGTTACATCAAACCCTGCAAACATGCACAATTAACATGCTAAAAAGGACATCCAAGCAGTTTTAATAATATATAGCTTTAATGAAAATTCACTTCAGCGGTGTCAAGTTCGCTTTTATGGAATGTCCTTCTTTGGAGTCGTACCCATCGGTTGGTTCACCCCAACGGGCTCGAGGGCCGCGGCTGGGACAAAGGGTGCAGCAGTTGCTGTCCTGGGTCGGCATTTCACATGAAGCTGACGCCTTCATAAGATCTTTAAACATGATACCCGATATCAGGAAATTCCTGTTGCATGCCTAGTTCAAACGTGTGAACATACTACAAACATTCAACAAACTGTATGTAGGCTTGATGGGAGCCGGGAGGACTAGAAGAACTTTGGTTCGTAACTGGCGTCCGTTACTGTCGTTACTGTTGTCGAAACAGGAACCGGCCAATCATGACGAACCAAACATGTGCAACTTGTGAACATGTGAGAGGGTTTCTACATGTTTCCCGTCACATGAGGGGTGTCAAAAATGTTTGAAAGACTGAAGGACCTGGTCAAAGGAAAAATAACCTGAGCCAGGTCCAACAGGATTCCAACACATTCAATCCCTTTGTAGCTACGAGGTCTGGTCCTGGGCCAGTATCAGCCCTAGATGGGAACGGCCTTGAAAACATAACACTTGTACCCGGCTGGACAAACCCTGGGTAAAATTGGTCTGGTTGCCGGCGGTTCCAACATTTTGTGAGAGCAGGATACTATGCGCATAAGATACGATTCAAGCCGAAGAACTGGTGAATATCTTCAGCAAAACTTAAGCCCCAGAAAATCAAAAAAATCAAACATGCATTGGAAAACAGCCGGGCAAATGGACGGAAGGAAATTCAAGGGAGTTTCAACCCATGTTGTGAAGCTGTCCATCAGGTGGGATAAGCTTTGAGTTTTGAGGTTCGCTTCCTCCTTCTGTATTGCAAGTGAGATGGACCAAAAGTCTGTGCACTGCACTCCATTTTCTGAAATGCAAAAAGTATCACAAAGTAACTACCTATTTTAAAAAGAACAAACAACTTCCCTTCCTTTTCACAGGTAGACACTTTCTATGTGATCCTGACAGGTCCATTGCTTCACATACAGTATACGGGAGGTATATAGTATACGATACCGTACCTACGGAAGTCGATGTAAGATCCGTCATCCTCTCATGAGTGCCGGATCACTCCTCTCAGGCTGACTTTGGTAAAACGATGTTTTGAATTGCAACAACTGGTCAACAAGTCATGAGTGCCGGTAAACTGGTAGACAAGTGACTCGGTTTAACTTGGTCAACGATGTCCCTGCCACATCCTTCCCTGCCACACGTTTTTGGCGGATCCGTTTTAAATCGCAGCGTTTAAGCGATAAAAACAACATACAAGTAGTTACCTTGAGGCCCTTAGTATCTTTCCCAAATGCAGGTTGGAATTGTGCGCATCGCATGTTCCAAAGGAGTCGGGAGTCTCCTCAGTCTCATCTGCCTGCTGATCCCTGAGAGCGCCAAGTCTCATCCTCACTTCGCCCAGGTGGCTCAGACCGCAGGAAAAGCGAGCCATGCTGGATGGTGAGGTACTCATCACCGCTCCTGGCAGTCCAAGCTGTACAGTCAGATGCAGTCAGTCTGTGAATGTGAAGGCTGTATGATTGTTCGGAAGAGTGACAACCTGCAAAGCTGAGAGCTCAGAATATCCATCACATTCAAAGGCTAATGAGTAGAAACATGGTGTGTATACATTGGCGTGGCAAGGCAAGTATGGCCCGACAATGATTTTCAACAGTTTTTTTTGCAACAACTTGTGACAACCTTCGCGCAAACCCTTTGTGGATGACGTGGATTCTTCATATGAACCCTGAACCCTTAGTGAACAAAATAGAAATCACATGACAATACACATCATAAAATAGATTACATTATGTTACATTGCTGTACTGCCCGGTTCTCAATCGTATATCATTCAACATTTCATGTACATTTACATTCATGCTACCAATTCATTGATATGTTTCCACAAAATCCACTGAACTCACGTTTTTCCCCGTGTCCCGGCGTCCTCCTGTGTCCCGGGCCACGGGGCTCGGGACATCGTCATTGGGCAGCAAACTCAGGCTGGACCTTGAGAGCCGAGGGAAGCGGCGAAGGTTCAGCAGGTTCGCACGTTTAGCCCGAAACTCTAGGAGCCTGCGGGTTCTGGATGGTTCTGGTGTGGCAAGATGCATCAGGTTCCAATTTGCCTGCCAGAAACTCTAGAGTCTGTCAAGTCTGTGGGTTCTGGTGTGGCAGGATTTTTTGGAGGATGCATCTGGCCTCGAACAAAATGAGTGTCAAAACCCTTCAGCCTCCGAAGTATGTGTATCTGATTTTGGGAATGTACTGATGTTCTGTAGCAGAACCGACTCGAACGGCTGCTGGTTCTAAGCCTCCGGACTCCCAGGGATCATAGGTGTTACTTCGATACATCACATCCTGCTGAATGCAGCACACGCGATCGCGTGCATTTGTGCTGTCTGTGTGTGTGTGAGTGTGCGTGAGTGTGTGTGAGCGTGTGTGTGTGTGTGTGTGTCAACGCCTGTTTCTAAGGAGCTTGACCACATTTCTTCACCACCATTTAGACATGACCTTGTCCTTTAGTGTGCAGTTCTGCAGGGGGAAAGGACGTGCAAGGCTCTGCCCAACGAAGCTCTCTGCACTAGTCCTCGGAAGCGGGAACTGATCACTCCTGTGTACCTGTGCAATTTTAATCACCTATTTTTCAAGCTTGTGCGGTTGAGTTATACCAAGCCATTTATAGGCTGATCCTTTCATCTTGCCGTTGCGAGCACGGCCTTTTCAAGTCTCAGGCTTCACGCTCTAGACTCTAGACGGCTAATGCAGTAGATCAGTGAAACGCTAATCTCACTGGGAACTCGAAACTGATGGAGCTCTTGCAATCATGGGTCTAAGTGTGAGCGTGTGTGTGTGTGTGCCACCTCCTGTTGTTTCCACGTTGCACTGTCAAATGGAGGGGGCAGAGAGGACTTGCAAACGAAACTCTTTGCAAACGTCCTAGGAAGGGGAAGCTGATCACTTCTCGATGATTTAAACAATACTGTTCAGCGGCTCTTTTCACCTTTCAGTTCCTCACAGGGCTGTTTCGAAGGTCGAGGTTTGAGCGCTCAAATCTGGTACTGCAATCACTAAATCGTACAGGGCTACAGCACTCCGCCAATCTCTGAGTTTCCGCTCTGTCGAGCTCTGTTCTCAAGTGTGTATCGCCCTTCTTCCCACTGCGGTAAGCTGTGTGAACCCCACACAGGGGCTGTTACTGGTTACTGAATGTGTTCCTACACAGGAATGAATTTCCAGAATGTCCAAAATTTGGACCAACTTATGACGCAAGATCTACTGTTTGAATCACAATTTCGAATCCGTTTCACCTTCCGAACAATGAATTTATGCTGCAGGGCTACTGTAACGCAGATATTGAATCTGTCTCTCAGGATTGTTCATCTTATTTCATCTTTTTAAAACGTTTCAATTTTTCAATTTTCAATGCATCGACGATTCTGTTGAGATGTTTTTTAACTTTCCCACACCCTTCCACGCAACAAACCCGTTCCACTTGACCACCACAACGGACATTTTGCAGCGTTTAGTCATGTACATACAAGTATGTTCCATTTATTGCAGCATCAACGCCGAGAATCATCGCGACAATTTGCCAGCCATGTCTTATCCTTATTGGGAGATCTACCACCAACATCCCCATCGCATTATCACTGGCCTCCAGGGCACTTCCACTCACAACCCCACCCTCAGCACCATTCGGTACCGCCGCCCCACGTCAACACCTGGCAATACACGCCGCATTCACACCTCCTCACATCCCACCACAGTATCCACCAGTCCCCGTTTGACATTTCCCACAGCAATATCCCCCACCGACATACTTTCCACTACATCCTCATCTACCACCTACTTGGATGAACCGCGGGGTTGCTAAAGGTTTGAAATGTTACTATCACATATATACAATATACTGTACTGTATCTGTTAAAAGCTGTTATATTATTAGTATGTCCTCTAACTATTTGAGAAGTACTACATGTCATTCCTAACTCTACTAAATGTGAGGACATGTTGCAAAATCAACAATCACTTGCGAACAAAATCTTGACATATCTTGACGCTTGCCGCTTGCCGGCTACCGTCCGGGAACTTCAAATGAACAAAAAATGCTCTCTGGTCGCCGAGCGCTTTTTCACACTTCCAACTTCAATAAACATAATGTGTTGGTTTCTTTTTGGGGTGTTCCATTCCAGGCACACTCCACACCTTGGGACCCTGGCCACCAGCGGTGCAGTGCTGGACTGCGAAGGAGGGCCAGGACACCAAGGTGAGACAATTGGAGTATCTGCAAGCATTGCTGACACAGGCATCTCTGAGGGTGACCGAACTGAGGCGAGACATGGTCTCGGGAGGCTGAAGGCCTCGGGAGGAAAAAAGAGCAAACGCGGCAAATGGAGTGGATAGTGCGAGGAACTAGAGAAGACATACTTAAGCTTGATATTTAAGAACGACTTCCTGTAATAGCACAGCGAACATTCAATCAATAGTTTCGAGATCTGTGGCCTGGATCCTAGAATGGAATAGGGAGACCTGCCAGTTTGACCCCCTGGAAGAAAGAAAGCAAAAAAAAAACTTGCCAGGACGACGTCACTGATGAAGTGTCTTTAATCTCAGTGGTATTCGCAAACACAATGACCTATTTGCGAGCGAGTGATGATATGCAACTCTACTTGCCTAATCCGCCAACCCGGTCTAGGCCGATGAACGTGAGCCGACCGTGAGCGGAGCGGGGCCAGCGTGTTCCTGTTGAGGGACAGGGACTCCGGTGAGCGGTGGGCGATGTCACGCACGCCGTCAAATTCACAAACATGTAGCCAACAAATCTGCAAAAATCGACATGTTTAAAATCTCCTCTCGTGGGACCGTGAAATAAATTTTGTTTTGCGGGAAAAGCGTCGCCCCCGCTTAATCCCTGCGGAGAGAGGCTGCGTACCCTGCCGCAGTGCACTGCCCGCGGACAAAACTAATCGCATCGTACTACCTATAAACCGAAGAATTGAAACGGACGAGGCCGCATGGTGCGCGCGGGGCGCCGGATGGAAGGGTGTGGACACGAGAATGTCCCCAAGAGTTGCACCCCCACAAATGTCCTGCAGAGTTCTACAAGAGTGTCCCCCAAGAGGTGTCCCGCAAGAGTGTCCCACAAGAGTGTCCTACAAGAGTGTCCCACGAGAGTGTCCGACAAAAGTGCCCTACAAGAGTGTCTCACAAGAGTGTCATACAAGAGTGTCCCGCAAGCCGCAAGAGTGGACCACAGGAGTGTCCTACAGAAGTTGCAACTTGTAGCAAAAATGTGATGTGGGAAGCAGCTCCTGTGAGCTGTGGCCTCAGAACTGGCAACTTGTAGTAGACATGCAATGCAGGAGGTTGTGGGAGCTGTGGCCTTAGAACTGGACATTTGCTAGTACAAATGTAGTGCCGGAAGCGGCTTCTGGCAGGTGCGGCCTCAGAACTGTCCACTTGGTATAGTGCAAATGTAGCTTCTGAGAGCTGCGGCCTCAGAACTGGCCACTGGCACACCTAGTGCGGGAAGCAGCTTCTGCAGTAGAACTGGCAGCTTTGCAGTACAAATGTAGTACGGGAAGCAGCTTCTGCAGAGCTGTGGCTTCAGAACTGTCAACCTATGTGGCCAAATTACGTGAGTGTCGTACGTGAGTGTCCCACAAGAGTGTCCTACAAGAGTGCCCTGCAAGAGTGTCCCACGGAGTGACGAAAGTGTCGCGCACGAGAGTGTCCCACGAGAGCGTTCTACAAGGGTGTCTCCTACACGAGTGTCAAAAATGTTTGGGCGTTTCTTTTCGAGTACGTGTTTGCATTATTGTTCGTGGGCTCCGTATTGTTTTGCAAATGTTAAGGTTTACACAAACAGGGAACTGTTGAGCAGTTGCGCAGACTGTTATGCTTGGGGCGTAGGCGTCGTGTAAGCATTTTGCGCAGGTGGGTGTTGAAAGACTTGCGTAGGTAGTAGGCACCTTTCATGCAAGCATGAGCTTTCTGGTTCACACTTCTTAAATGTTGTTCAAGGGTCTGGAGGGAAGACAATTTTTGTAGTTTTTAACTTACACCTCCAAACCGTATATGGGGCTTGTTACTGGGCTTGTTTGTCCAAGAGCCAGTGAGGCTGCTACACTATAGGCAGAATCCCGATAGCAGCTAGCATATGATACAGCATTGCATATCAGAAGAAACTGTGCACATGACAGGCGCGAGGAATACGCAGGATAATATGGCTTGTGGGGTGTCTGCTATTGATGTCAAAGGGGTGCCCCATCACTGACTGCATGCATGAAACCAAGATCCAGTGCCGTGTGAGGTCAATTTCTGTCAGTCTGCCCGCGCCGCTTCAGCACTCGGCAATGCTGCTCGAGCAGGCGCTGCCAGGCAAACAGGCTGCTGCCTCAAGCTGGGGGTGAGTCCATCATCTCTGGGGTTTGTACGAGGTATTTCGGGCAGTCTGCTGCTGGTGATCGCACAGTTGGTGCGCGAGTGACTGGAGACCTATAGGGCTGTAGGAAGCGGAGGACAGGCGCAACGTGAAGCCTCAGAAGAGACAACAAAGTGTTGCCAAAACTGCACGTTGCCAGGTGCGCAACGCCATGGAGCGACCGATGCCTTGCGGCTCTGGGCAGATTTCATTGAGCCCTTCCACTGCGTTCGGTCCCATGCCCAGAGCTGTCTGCGGGTCAACGCAGCGTGGGGCGATGTCCCGGGCAATGACCGGGCAGAATCAGAGCCGTCTGCGGGTCAAAGCAGCATGGGGCGATGCAGCTGAGGTCCCGGGCAATGACCATGCAGAACAGACGATGTCCCGACTTGACATCTAGTAGCCTCCGCAGCCACTGCAGTGTCGTATCGTTGGTGGGCCTGTCATAGGGTTCCCGGCTCGGCCAAGGCTGTCAGGCTGTCTGCAGGCGAGCAGCTACTTCCTTCAAGTAGCGCATGCCCAAGTCAAAGACATCGCCTTGGCGGTGCCGATGACACTGCGGCAGAGAACGTGCCGTGAAGCCACTTGAGGACGCGGCGGTCCAACAAGACTGCGCTAGGTCCTCAACAGCTTCCACGTGGAGGAGGAAGGCATCGACACAAGGCCATCCCCCAAACTGGAACTGCCACAAGTTCAAAAAGGTTCGCCAAAAAACAAATGGAAAAGGCCGAACAGTCATCAGTTACTTTTGTTTCATTGCTGGAACATGCTGGAACCTTCTATACGTGCAACATCCAAAGCTCTCGACATCATGCTACTTTAACTCCTCCCCCAGCTTCCTGGACAGCTTTCCATTCCCACACACTCTGGCAAAATATACACTCCCACTTGAAACAAACACCTGACGACGTACATTTCGCAGCTGTAAGTGATGACCTCGTGGGCTTCTTCAGCAGTGCCCCTCAACAACGCCTCCTCGATGCCGTCATCAGCCTCTGTACAAAGTGGCAACTTTCACACTCTACCATTACACTCACCATCGATATCCATTCCACCGGCAACCCACTTCAACAATCACACATAGGACGCCACTATCGCTACCACCCTCAACAACGTACCCTCGACACCCTTGACATCCCAACCATCGTCCAGTGTGCCCTTCACATCTGCATTTTTCTAAGCTTGCAACGCATTCTATCAACAAATCCAAGGCGCTGGCATCGGCAGTCAACTATCTCCGGCCCTCTGCAATGTTGCAATTACTTTTACCGAACACACATGGCACGAACATACACCACATTCCTTTCCCAACCCACCTTGGCCCTCCTCAACACCCGACACGTTGACAACTGTCACATCCTCTTCAACGACAATTTTATCAATTCTCTTCCACTCCTGATCCTTTCCCATCCCGATTTTTACGGCCATCCCGCAAAAATTATCACATTTCAACCCCCTGTGCATCCCTGGCAAAAATGAGACTCTTACTCAGTCGCCAGGCAGAGACTCCTGTCTCTGGCCTACATTGTGCACACATTCCATACACAAATGCTCTTCCGAGTTTCCCTGAGCGTCCATGCTTTTAGGAGCGTCGTGCTGACACCGATCCCACCTGGAAAATCTAACCTCACCACTTGGTCAATAATTAGTCAATTTCCAGAGTGGACCTGAACACCGCGCAGCTAATGTAGTGAGCAGGCGCCGAAACTCGGGGAAGCCGACGTTCCCAACGCGCACGGGTTTTCTTTGAGGGCAACACTCTGACAATGAAGCAACGAAGCAACAATTACTCACAGAAAAGATCCAAAAATGAGCCAGCCTTGGTATTGTCCAGGTACACAAAAGTCCAAAGACAGTCGAATCCCCCACTGGCTTTGCGAGGTTGCCTTTGAGTAAAATGTCTGGATCTGTGTCCGTAAAAGCGTACATCCAAAAACACCGTTGTCACCGATCAAGTTTGATCCCGATGCCTTCATCTGCTGGATTCAGTTTAGAAGAAATGGCTGCCTGGTCATCCTGGCAAACACCCATAAAATATCATAATATGAACAGTTCGTACATCCCTAACATGGACTGCACCAAAGAGTCTTGCGAATTAGCTGGCACGCCACAGTTGGTGAAACCAAGTTGAACGAAACACCTTCCAGTAGTAGCATCCTTTCTGGGTGCTGCCCTAGCCTACTATCCGGGATCTCCAAACAGGACATAGGGTGGTCCAGGTTGTGAATTCAGTTCGCTGATTCTGAAAAATCCCCCTGGCACCCCACCCCAACCACATTTAAACAAAAAAACACAATACACTCCCACGAACACATCACATGGACTGGGTTCGTTCACCCCATGCTGTGGGTTAGAGTGGTCCACCAACCGCCTCCCCAAACGCCTCGGTCTCGGTGGCCTCATCGTGGCTGTACAGCCTCGGAGAAGAATCAGTCGAGCCATCGGCACAGTCGAGCCAAGCACGAGGCAAAACAACGGAAGACATGAAACAGACTATTATATAAGAAACTGGTGGAAGCACATGTTCTTTCACTTGCAGTGCTTGGGTTTATGTTCAGGTGTCAAGTATCCCCATAGTGTAGGAGTTTTTCCTATTCTTGTCTGCAAACCTTTGAGAACAGCTGAAGCAGTCAGGTTAACAAGGCACCATCAAAACGAAAGTTTGATGAGACTGGACAATGTAGCACACCTGGGGCATGGACAGGAATGAAGCATTGCAAATACAACAAAAGTTGAAAAACAAACACACAAAACAGGCACACCAGCGATGCAAGCCTCTGGCATATACCCACAAAACTCTACTGCATGCCATCTAGTGCATTCTAATGCCAAAGCCTCCATAAAAAAGGGGTACAATGAGCAACCTATAGGGATCCAGTCTTAGTTTTCCACCATATAATTACAACTAGGCCATGGGTCCTCTATGTTCTTTTCTTTTAGGCCGGTATAGAAGTGGACTGAACTTACTGAACTGGTTCCTCCTTAGATGCGTCCTTGACTCATCACATGTCATTGCTGGTCAGTCTCTTTTAACTGTTTCGCTGAGCTCCGCACGACCGACTGGAGCTCGCCAACTGCTTGGCTTTGGCGATGTGCCGCGCCTCGATCTGGCCTCGATGCATGTGCCGAGATGGAGGGAGACAGGCTGACTTCAACACGGGGCTCCGGTCTGCGCCCCAAAAGAGAGAACACAAAATCGGACAAATTCCCATATAATATATATATATATAGGTCAAATCATCACAACCCACGCACACACACACACACCATGCAGAAAGAAGAGTGGATGATCAATCCCAAGTGGCACTGTCCGCCCAGCGGGTCGGAGGATGTGCGGAAGAGAGGGTCCTCGTCCTCCTCCACCACCTTGGAGGTCAGCCGTCCAAAAGCAGTCAGCTGGGAAAAAGCGAGTGATGCAAGCCAAAACGTTCCAAAGCGAGTGATGTAGCACCCCCCCGGTGGCAAGTCCACCTTTTCCTCCAAAAAACCAGATCCACGGACCACGGAATCGTGCAAAACACCAAAGACATGTGGCGAAAACAGGTGAACCATGGTGTTTTTCCCGCTCAGTGGTTCACAGCCGCTGGTCGGAAGCCTTGTTCGGCCGATCCCAAGCAGCTATGGCAGCTGTGGGACCACTCCGCATGCGAAAACGATTGATTTTTTGAGGGATAGACCCCCTTGTTAGGTATAGCTCGCAGGCTGACCCAGATAAAGTCCTGGGACTGACGGCCTGGATTTTATCCACCAACTACGGCCCCCTATGGTTTTTATTTGTTGAGAGGGGAAACATCCGGGAGCACCGACCACACACTGACATCGCATCTTCCACGGCGAACGAACACGGATAAGCTCAGCATTACCAGGGCCCTGGTTCTGTAGTACTGTAGCCAAAACATCGCGGAGCAGGCTCGGTGGGTCACGTGAAGCATCGAAGCGCGGGCCATGACGGACGTGCAGTCCTCCTTCGAGTCTCTGATCTTGAAAAAGCTGACTGGTGCCACTCGCAAGGGTTGAGGGAATTAACCCAATTATATATAGATAAATACGTATCTACAGTATTATACTATAGTAGGAGGATGTAGGAGGGTCATTCCCAAAAGAAAGGTCAGTCCCTTGGAGTGGAGTTCTGGCCCGGTTCTGACGTCCGCGTCCCCGTCCGCGGTCCGCGTCCTTGCGTCCGCGTCATTCACGTCAGCCAAGGAACGTTCAAAAATGTATTTCGGACCTGAGATGGGTCGCTCAAAAGCATCAAACATGAGGAGAAGTGCCCTACGTTATTACTAGTAGCGATGCCCTTCCTCCTAATAGCTTCTTGTTACTCGTAGTAAGGCCAGGAGTTACTAGTAGCATCCGTGCTCCGTTCGTAGCGATGAAACATGGGGTCCATGGGGTCCCGGGTCGTGACCCACCTCGGTCGACTGGTCCCCGCATCCTCCTATCCGATTGAAGGGGGTGAGGCCACCCAAACCCGACGGGATGTAACATATTATTAGGCGTGGGCCACTCCAACTGACTGGGGGTCATCTGCTTTCAACTTCAGCTCTGCAAAAACAAGCACTACACCGCTGATTCTCTGGTGTTAAACATACGTCCGCTGGACGGACGAATCCGCGGTCTAGAAGGTTTCATGTTGGGAACCTGTGCCTCACCTGCACCCATTGTAACCTGTGCCTCTGTTCGGGATTTGCCGCCGTGGGGCGGTGATCTGAACACTTTCTGGACCTGGCCATCTGCTTTGGAGAGCTTTGTGATATTGCCGTACATATGCAATATAATGTATGACATATATTGTCATCTGAAAATTGATGATGACTCCTATGTATATGATATGTATATATATATGTGTGTATATATAATTATGATGATTGTAGATGCAACACAGCTCAATTCTAACAACAAAATACAAAGTGTTATTTAGATTTATTTAGTGCTTGTGCTACGCCATATTCTATCTTATCGAGGATAACGAAACATGGCTCTGGGGTCATGAAACCCTCTGCCCGTGGCAAAACCATTGGCACGGAATAACAGTCATCACATGGTCGGACGTTCAACCATTTTCCTTGGAGTCTTAGCTTTCACCAATACGGTATGTGGAACAGCAAATTAAATTCAACCAAAGACCGCAGGTGTTTGAAGGTCTTTCGTGAACAAACGTCATCTAGAATACAACTCTAGGCCCTAGGCGCTTACTTGATCAAGCAAGGGCGTAGTAAGCTACTAGCAACAGGAAGCTCCTAGCAACTGGACGCAGGATAGCTCAGGCTTGCACTAATGATTTGGTTCCTAGATTTTTAGGGAAACTGAAATGTATTTAACTTTTGGGAGGTATTTGAGATGACTCTTGGTGTGTCACACACATGGCATCAAGGAAGTCACCACCAGGCGTGATTGATCGAACAGCGCTTGTGGACAGATTCTAGAAGGAAACCAATGCTGTCATCGTGTCAACTTCCAATATACTGCAAAATGATCAAAATATATGTAACATCATCCTATGGCAACGCGTTGGAGTCTGTTGGAGGTCATCTCCAAAAACATGTGTCTAAAAATGGTCGTCATGGCACCCACGGGACCGCCAGACCGACCGGACGCCTTGCCCGGCTACAACAGCCATTGCACCTAAGACCGGACGCTCCGTCGACGCGGCAAAGCCGCTTGGGTCACCCGGAGTTCACAGATGAATCCTGTCCCACGATCGCCTTGGTGGGGGTCACCAACGAATTAAAACCTCAAATCATCTAAAATCAAATAAGTACATGCCTTACATCGAGGAGTCCCAATGATTAACCTCCCATTGCTATGATAAGTTGAGAAGACGTAGTAATGTCAATAATTCATCAGTACTTTCATCAGTCAATTGCAATTAAGTTTGGACGAAGTCATCATCTCCAGCACACCACCTCCCGTGTTCGCTGGGTACCGGGCTCGGTGCTGTTGCCCCTCGACGACGCAACGCAAGTCACGTCGAGAATGGCACAAGCCTCCGGCGGGGGTTTAGCTTTGATCCATTTACTATATCGCTTCTATTATGTTCAACAGTCCTCAGGACTCGAAAAGCTCAAATCGCATGTTTTTTAAAGGCCAGACACGGTCCCGTCCCGGACTCTTAAGATGTGAGCTAAGAGTTTGGTCTACTGGGGATGTGGATAAGGCACAGGTTCTGGTGGCTGGAAGTGGTTTGCCCAGCAGACTTGCCACTGAACAACTAGCATTCTAGTTGACCAACTGCAAGAGGACAAATGTCCTCACAACATCTCACAACTATTTTGCAGCTGGCACCATGTTACACCAAACAACCCTGACAACGGGCCTCTGGCTCACAGAAACACAGCTTTTGAAAGTCACCAAAAGCTGGTTGGCTTTCTACAAGCTCCAAAAAAGATCCAACCATTCATATCTCTGAATTCTGACTTCTGTGCGTGCTCCCAAAAGCCAAGCAGCTAGCACTAGCACATGAGGGGACGGTCTCTGAAGGTCCTAACTCCAAGCATGAGCGGACAACTGGGAGCCCTCGTTCTCTTACAAAGCCCTGGGAAGATCGACCAGGACGTGGATGGACCGTCCGTCGTTTTGAGATGAACGAGACCCCGAACCAGGCTTCTGTGGGTTTCAATTTGGACGTGGAGACCCTGAACCGATCGTGAGACGGATCTGTTGTCCTTCTTCCTGGGGCATCTTCGGGAAGTGTCCCTATTTTAATACACATGTATATGTACTGTATATATATATATAGATATGCACAATGCACACCCATGTTGTTTTTTCTTCTCAAGGGCTGAGCTTCTGCCAGGCATGACCCGCCAAACCACCACCATGCACGGCTGGATGTGCTGTTTTGAACTGCTTGGAGCCGACTTGGAGTTGAAACCAACACTACTTAGCCTGTACACAGAATTTTACACATGGATTGTGCAGATGTGGGCCCGATGTGGTCGAAAGCATAGAGTCTTAGGCTTTTTCCAACTAAGTATATATATATATAAGATGTTCCAGCGCTGAAAGTCCTAATGCGAGCTTCATCGTTTTACTGTAGTTCCAAGAAAGAAGCACAACCACTTCAGCTCACCACCTGCCGCCACTTCAGCACACCCGAACACCCACCCGCCTTTCCAATCGGGCACGACCGAGCAACCAAATGTTTTTAACCAGTTCCTTGGCAAGGAAGAAGAGCGGACTTTGGCAGCTTGTGAAGATCCCCTGTCTGTGAGATGCTTCTGCAATGACCTGGTGCAAAAATACAGTATTGTAATACTATATATTCAAGTAGATTTACTTACAGTATTTTTCTACAAGTCTATATATAAGCCTATTCTATAGATCAAGCAAGCTATTCTTTGTTGCCCAAGAACTGAAGGTGTGTGTGTGTTTGAGGGATAGTTTTTTAAGATCTGGTCATTGATCTACTGGCACCCCTTACTGCCATGTAGCGTCCCAACTGGCAAGCCCTGGTATCAAATCCGTTGCTTGTTTGCTCGTGAATTGCAGCACGTAGCGCGTGGTATAGTCAACAGATGGTCGAGCCTGGTCACTGGTCGAGGATGTGCCCATCCCCTTCATTCATCTGCCGGCAAATGGGTCACCTATTTTGGTCCATCAACCAGATGGGGTATGGCTATATCCAAATGGTCCAAACCCATGAAAAACACACAAATAAATAACCAAGCAAAGATGCTGATTGGCAACCGAGTCTGAGGTTTATGAGTAATAACAAAGGGCTTGGTGGTGTTCAGCATGTTTAAGCCATCCCAACTTGTTCATATTGGTAGCATCTCCTCCAAGTAGTTTTAGATGAAACATGACAACAAATCTTCCAAAACACCACCCACCGGCTCTTCTTTTCACTTCTGTTGTTCCATGTGTGTTGTGTATTTTTCTGTAATCAGGGGATCCCATGAACAACAAAAGGGCCCGTTCACAGTGGCTAACGGGGGGTTCCATCAAGGGTAGTGGGGGTTGAAAATGGGCAACATCATTTAATTGAAATCTCTCCACTGCAACGGGGGACACCAACAGAAAGCCCTGCGATTCCAAGAACCATTGCGTTAATTGCCTTTCATCTCTTTATCGACTACAAGTTTCCAGGTCAACGGTTCTTTTGCTGGTCGAAGGCTAGGGTAAGATGTCTCCCACAAATGGAGTTCCCACTTCTTTGCCAAGCCCAGCGTCACCGTCAAACTCTACACGCGACAAACGTCCTCGTCTGCAGCTTGAGCCAAGAAGGGCCGCGTTTTTGTGCGGTGGAACGTCACCGCAGGAGGTTGGTTGGTCCAAAGGGCTCCCCCAAAAAATAGATATCGTTTGTGTTCGGCTTGTGTTTGGTCAAATCCAAGGTCGCTTGGTTCTTTCCTACAACCGACCACCCGCTGTTGAAATCATGGAGACCATGGAGGACGGTAGCGCTCCAGGTCCTAAGCAGGCATGGAGTGGTGGTGCTCCGAACCAAGCACATACAGCTCAGTAATGGCAGGAGGCCATGTTTTGCATTCTTCTGTTCTGGCACCTCTGAGTGCTACAAGTAGCAAAGACTTGACCAATGACTAATTTAATGTATCACTGGACATATACCGTGTTTTGACATGTGGCACATTTGGAATCTTTTACATGTTTATGTTTTTCTGTTGCCAAATGGCGTCCTCATATCGTCCTCATCTATATATTTATATGTAGTTGAGCTGGGTTTGTTCAACCGGACTTCCATCACTCATTGATCACGACAACCAGCATGCTCATCATGTTCATCCGTGTAATTGTCGCCAATTAGATCATCTTACAACCTGAAACGAACTCACCTACATCCATCTCAAGGACTCAAACCTCAAAAAGGCTCCGAGATGAATCCCATGTCGGACCTTGGACCCTCTGGGCTCCCGCGCCCGGTCGGCACCTCCTGCAGCGCCACTCCGACCGGTTGTCAGCGTGCGAACGATGCCGGAGCCATGATTCAGATGCATCTGTTCCAGGACCTTTCAAGAGGTGTCTATAAATAGATATAAAATAGCCTCTTAGAGCTGATTCGGGTGTCCCAAAACCACCTGTTGGAAGGTCCTGGTTTATGTCTGTTTTGGAACACCATGATCGATGATGACGGAAACAAAACTCTCCATGCTCATCCTCCTGCGAATAGTCCAGGTGATCAAGCCCCCAAAGAATGACAAATAGGCCCGGCGCGGGAGTCGGGCGTTCCCCTCGAACGGGTTTCAAACTGAAGCAATGGTCGTTCTGAACGGTGCCATATCTGTCACGGAGGGAACTCCGCATGTTTCCTCAAAAGATCGCGATCCTGGAAGAGAAACACTGACGGCGTAGGAACGTTGACTAAGAGGACCAATGCTGACACACCGGTTCCACCACCAACCAGGGGTCGTTCACAGACACACCACAAGGGAGGTCGCAAATAGAGACCTGTTCGGGTCAAAACAGGGTCTTCTACTTCAGGGATTGTTCTTTTACCCTGGAGAAACAAAGCACGCGGTAGAAAACATACAACGCCAAAAAGGAGCGCGTGTCCATTCGAAGTGTCAGTGGAAAGCCTGCACCCGCACCGCCTGAGATGTGCACTGAGGCCCTGCGCCCGCGCCAACTCGTAGCCCTTCCAGGAGTCTGGGAGTTCAGCCGCTGCCTGTGCCGAATGGGCCGCAACCCGAGCCCAGAACCCCGCGAAGCAGAAGCCGCGAATCGAAGCAGATTCGACTTCTCGATGCAGCAGCTGATCAGTCGCAGCGAAGGCCTGGGTGAATCGATGACGGAGCCGTCGTCGCGAAGCAGAAGCCGCGAGCGACGGGAACTCCGCTACGGAACGGATGGTGAGCCCGCTCCCGAACACAAGCACCGGCACATAAAGAAGTGGTGAACCCGAACACAATAGCAATATCGTGCTGACTCTGCGACGGCTTCTAGATTTTAATCCGCTATAGGCGATAGTCGTAAATCCGGGTAATCCGCGATCCGTGTTCACTTGAAGGATCACGTGGGTTAGTAAGTGCTTACCTTAAGTAGTGAAAATACTAACCTGTGCCAAGTCAGGTTGTAAGTAGGATATAAGTCTTCCATGTGGGCTATGTTAACTGTTCAACTTACAGATATAATTCTTCAGTTTTGGGGGTACTTAACATGTTGGATTGACTCCATTGGTTTTTGCTGGAAAGCTGTCTTGTTGCGGCAGGAAAGCAACGTGATCTCTCAGTTCAAAGGATCGTGCATCACCTAGCTGAAAATGGTGTGTTGTTCTCGATTCAGTTTCAGCGGCTTGAGACTGCGATTCAATATTGGAGGCCAGGTGGACTGTTGACGCGTGGATCGTGTCGGTAGGCAGGCTGTCATGTTCGACGGGTTCTGTATATTCCTCGTGCGCGGGGTAGGGATCACAAAGACTCTTTTCTGCATGCCTGAGGGAAGTAGGGATCACAGGTGGACGGCTTGGACACCCTCAAGATCCAAGGAGGCAAGCCTCAAAACACTTGCAAAGGGGGATTCCAAAGGGGATCCCTTGAAGTGCTCTGCCAGTGAGCTGCGAAGCTCGGCGTGCCAAACCCCCGTGGTGAACGACTTGTATGGAAGCAGTTTCCAGCCATGTGCATGTGCTTTGAAGCTCTGTGCGTGTTCCGACGACCTTTT